GGGGACACAAAAATCTATCATGCGAAAAGTTGTTAAGATATCGTCATAATTTTCGGTATACTGATAGATGAAACATTATTCTGGTGTAATAAGTAGTGACGTCAAAAAAAATCTTGAATAAATGATTTTATTATAAATTTAATCCGTTCTTTGGATCTTAGATTTTTGTGGTAAAAATATTCCCATATTTAGGAACTCGACTCTGGAAAAGTTTTTCCTCCTACATCAAAAATGCCAGGTCCATCCTCTAAAATAGCCACGGAAGGCTGCAAAACCACTTACTGTAACATTTGAAATCATGTATAACCTTATGATATAGATTTTTTAGAAATGTGTGCATTTTCTATATATGACATTCCAATATGGCAGGCGTTACCATAGCAATACAAAAGAATTTTCCAAATTTTACTTCATGACTTAATTCTCCACTCTTTTTATATTGATGCTACCCACTGATGCTACCACATTTGTAAGCTTAGTTTCTTCTTCTTAACGAATTTCAAAATTTCCCCGCATCATGCCTTAAACCGGCAGTGGACGTTCCGTCTAAACGAAGCTTGAGTGCCGTGAACGTAGCCTCAACAGCTCCTGCAAACTGCATTCAGGGCGCCATGAACGTAGCCACTGCGTTATTTATTTCTCCGAACAGTTTCCGGCTTCCGGTCTTGTGATTTTTTGGGCTATTTGGGAGAGTTCGGCACCAACTTTCATTCTGCCATCATGCGAGGTAGAGGTGTGCGAGTCCAGAATATTAAGATTCGAGTCCATACTCGAGTATCTGCTCTGGATTGTAATTACTCGAGTAATTACTCGAGTAATGGTATCCCGAAAGGGAATTTTCGTGGGTTACAAAAAAAGTTTTGTTGAATATCGGACAGAAAATAGAGTGACTTCCTAGGAGGGAGCTTGAGTAGGCTTATGGCAATTCTAGACGTGTATGCATGCTGTTTATACCGTATTTATTTTATTCTATCTTAGGAAGTGGCTATTCTCACCCCGGGTGAGAATAAAAATACGATCGACTTCTCACCCCGGGTGAGACTTGCCAGCGTTGGCTATTCTCACCCGCTGTGAAACAAGACCTGCTTTTCCTAATATCTGAATACTTCCTATCGGTGAGGATTATTAAATTGACAAGGCCACCTCTATTCTCACCCGGGGTGAGAATAGTGCAGGCGAGTCTTTTGGCTATTCTCACCCGGTGCGCGTCCACCGTTATATAGCCTAGATCTAGGCCAAAAAATTTTGCGTTCACCCTAAACCACAGAATTCTACACTGTGATAACAGAAAAATTGTAGAATTCTGTGCTGTGAACAAACGTTCCATTACAACTGTACTTGTAGCCTACTAAAAGCGTACAATTTTGTCTGTGGGCAGTGGAGAGAGAGAGAGAAAGAGAGAGAACAAAACAAAATGGCGACCCACGTAGTTCGGCTCGATTCGAAAAGTTAAATAGCCGTAGCATCTTTGTAGACAACCAAATTAATTTACTTTTGTGTTTTAACATCATTTTTTAACTTTGTTTTTTGTCAATTTGATCGTCCACACCGATAGACAGTATTCAGAAAGAGACAGAGAGAGAGAGAAGAGGGGAGGAGTAGATCTTGCGAGAACTTCCGGGCGGGTGAGAATAGCCACTTTCAATTGGCAAACCCATTTTTTAAAAAAATATATTATAACACGAAAGTAAAACTTATTTGGCGGTCTACAAGGATGCTACGGCTACACTTTACGAATCGAGCCGAACTACCCTGGTCGGCATTTTGTTTTGCCCAGAAGTTCTTGAAATATCTAGGCTACTCCCCCTCCCCCCCCTCTCTCTCTCTCTCTCTCTCTCTCTCTCTCTCTCTCTCGCTCTCTCTCTCTCACTCTCAAAGCCTGCAGATAAAATTGCACGTTTTCAACACAAGAGGACTGGAACGTTTGTTTACACCACAGAATTTCATTTTAAAAAGTGTAGATGTAGAATTCTGTGGTTTACACTGGGTATCGCGGTAAACGCACACCGGTTAGAATAGCCAAAAGGCTCGCTCTCTCACCCCGGGTGAGTGAGAAGCTTACAACTGTATAACAACTAAGCTAGAATAGAGGTGGCCTTTATCTTATCTTATCATATTTTTATTTTTTTTAAAAATAATTCTCTGTTGCAACAGTAAGAATAAAATGTACACAGACTGTAAACCTCAGACAATGCACTTCATAAAAAAAAGAAGTTTGATTGGTCATCATGGGTTTTTAACAGTGGTTTCCTTTTTGCTTTTTTCTGTGTTATTTTTTCGTTTTTTTCCTTTTTGGGGGGTGTTTTTGGGTTTTTTCCTTCAGTTTTTAAAGATTGCTTATTAGAATTTATCTTTTATAAATTCTTAATTTTTTTAAAAACCAAATTTTTCTCCTTTTCTTCTTTTTTTCCCCTACAGACTCGAGTCTGGACTCGCCGAATGTATTACTCGAGTACTCGAGTCTGGACTCGTTACTCGCACACCTCTACTGCGAGGTCTGGGAAGGAGCAAAATTTGGGTCTAGATCTAGATTTAGATCTAGATTTAGATCTAGTTCTAGTTCTAGTCTAGATCTAGATCTATTTCAATTTTCAAAAGCTTGTCTAGATAGAGATTTTTAGATCATGAGTCTAAAAACGTGAAAAAGAAAGGTTTCACAACAGAATGAAATCAAAATTAGAATAGCCCATTATATACAACCTAAAAAATTAACAAATAAGGGTGTGTACATGTCCATCTGTCCGAAGATGATTGACTGTTTTAACCCTAAATGTGCGTAATTTTAAAAAAAGTACAGGATATTACATGTTAATTATGGAGTCACACACAAGGGGCCTGTCAGTTTCAGTACATGTATTCGGTTTTGGTGGAACGCTCTAACATAATGTACATTTAAATCTATATTATATGGTGTCAGTTGTGACCGGATCATCCGGTCGGAACTGACACTGCGTCAATTGTGACGGGAGACATAGCCGGAGACGTACGCTGCTCTTCTTTCATGAAAGTCGGATTTCACATTTTGGCCCAAATATAGAAGACGTATTATCTATTTTTGTTGTCTTCCGGGGCTTCCCTCGCCAGTTGACTTGGGAAGATTGAAGAATACAGGACCACTCGTATATTGCTCGAGAATTGGGGGCAGAGGAAGGGATTAGCAATGATTAGAGGAGGGGGGTCTCCCCCCTGACAAACTGCAAATGAATAGATCTAGGCTACCGGTCTGAGATTTTTCATTGAGAGAGATTAAAAACTGGGGAAAATCATGAATTCCTAAGGTTGTTGAGACATAGTCAAAAGTAGTCCTAATCCGCTGGTACGGTGTATCCTTCAATCTTACCGTTGACTTTGGCTAGCAATGCCAATCGCCCGCTGCGCCTTGGGCTGGAAATTGGCCTCCGCGGGAGGGGTAATTTTTGGGTGGCTCGGAATCAGAAGTGACTCTCTTCTAAGTATAGTTTCGGGAAAACTCGTTGACGAAAATAAATGTAACTCAGCAACCAACCATAGGAAAGGTTAAACTAATGACATTCGAGCGTACAATCTCGAACGAATTCTAGAACTGGAGAAATTGCCGTGTATGTGCGATGATCCGGTCACAATTGACCATATTATATACATGTATATAAATTTAGAATCTAATGAAGGTAGGAACATCAAATTAAATGACGTTACACTTACACTATACAACATCCCCCCCCCCCCCCCCACCTTTTCCTCAACAACAACAAAATTAATAGAAAAACAACACATCAAAACAATAACAAGAAAAAAAAATTACACCAACAAAATAAAACACCACAAAAGGAAAAATAAAAGAGAAACAGCAATACAAATCGTATGTAACTGTAACGTATTCAACAAATCAACGTGGTGACAACAAGAGAGAAAGAAGTGAAGGTGATCTTTCTTTCAAAAGTAAAGAGGTTCTGTTTCTTTTTTTTTTTTTTTTTTTTTAATTTGACTTTTATTCCCCAATTCTGGTACCAAAAAAATTCCAAAAAGGCAGATAAATGCTAGTTCTATGTGTGTCGTTATCAATATCCCTCCATAGATCTAGAAGTAGACAGCACACGAGTGGACACAACACATTAAGTTTAAGTTTAAGAGCAGCATCCTTCATAGGCAACACGTCATAGCTGTAGGGAAAAACTGTTTGGAACTGTAGCATTTATGTAAATTTTTACTGCGGACATTTTTTGGACCGATTGAACCAAATTGTATACGAACAATCTTTGGTAGGCCTACAATTACAATATATTTAATTTATAGATCTAGATCTATCTATATCCGAAATTTGCAGGAAAGGATGTGATTTCAGAGTGTTCGGAGAAATAGTGCCCAGCTTTATTTTCCCGAACGTTCTGAGAAATAGTACCCAGATTTATTTTCCCAAACGTTCGGAGAAATAGTGCTGGCCTAAAAATAATAAAGTAGGCTAGGGAGTAGGACTAACTAGAATCTTAGTTACCAGTCCATTTTAGAAACTAAATATTGATGCGCTGAACATGAATATGAACTTCCTTTCCGTCGCAAATAGTTTTTGAAACTTCTGATTGTTCTTAATATAGGTCTAGAAAATCTAGATCTAGGTCTTAGAGACCAATCGGGGGGTTCCAGGGGGGCTTGCCCCCCCTGAGGTAAAAGAAAATCTGGGGAGCTACAGTACAAGGGGGGAGGGGGGCAGTTTTGACCACTGCTTGCCAACCGGACAGGCGACCCTTGATTCCACTAGCTGGGCCTTTGCAATCCACCTCCATCTCCACCACCTAATTTCCCCTGTCTAAGAGGAAAATGTTAAAGACTAAATTTTGTTCTGGCTCCTTTGCTATTCCGTCTTTCACAGGTTCGACTACGTTAAATTTACTATATTTAGCCACAGACAGAAGAACTTGAAGGGACAATACTAGTGTAAAGGATTGATTTTGGTTTTTGAGAACATCTGAATGAACAGTGCTATGAACCACGATTACCCATGTCTGATTCGAACCTGACACTTTACTTGAAGAAGCTGAGAAAAAAAGTGTTGAAGAGTTAGTTACGTTTTTATTTAGAGTTTGAGTACTTGGAAAGTGGAAAAATTGAATTTTTTGTGCCTTCAAGGTTTTTCACTAAAATCCACTCTGAATATGTTTCTAAATAGATTTGATAAACGATGTGGAACTTAAAAACAATTCAATAAAAATTGCCAAATTTTACATCAGCAGGAAGAAGCCGGTTTCTCTGATTTGACTATTTTGATGAGCTCCTGATATCACCGTATGCTACCTCACAATTTTAAAGTTGTAACGCTATATTAATGTTGTGAATTTTCTTCAGTACTTATCTGTGATGCCAAATATGTCTGATGCTGAGAAGACACTGCTGCGGCATGCGACCGACTCTCTTCAAGCTCAAGAGAGGCTCTGTTGGAAGCTGAGCCAGAAAGATGATACGAGTCCAGAAGGTATTGATAATATGTCCTTATATTTGTGGAGCCTGCTTACAAAATGCGTTACTTCTCGGATTTAAGCCTTAAGAGATAACATCATGTTTATAGGTGAAGTTTTTACAATTTATAAGTATGAAATAATAAAAGACAGGTTATAATGAAAGAATATGGCATCGATAAAAAATCAACAAATTTGACCGTAATGTCGATTTTTGGCCAATATCTCCATTTGTGGATTGCGAGAACTAACTCATTTTGTCTGCATGCCTCACTTTTTGTTAAAAAATATAATGAATCAAAGTTGACTGCAAATTTTGAACATTTTAAAAACTTGAAAATAAAATTTGTATGGTCAAGGAAAATGCATTTCTTATCGTCGGCCACATGATACAATGTCATAAGCCCTAAAACCAAAATTTTTCAGGAGAGGGAAAAAACTTTCATTCTTTTAAAAAATTACACGTACACATCGGAACTGATAATGAAAGAAGGGAAAGGCATTATTGATTGGCTGAGACGAGTCATTTTGTGAAAAAGTGTTTTTGTAATGAGATAATTGACTAGCCACATTGTTCGATCCCTTTTTTACTCTGATACAATGTACTAAGCTCTCGCGCACTACAGTTTATTACGTCAAAAGCGTGGTTTGCTAGAGGACAAATCATCAAACAGCTTATCACAGGTTTCTTAGGTTGACCTGTAAAGAATAAAACATGATAAAAGGTCAGACAAGACAAGAAACAGAACAGGTTGTAGTAGAAACTGTTTTACCAGTTTATTACAGACATCGTTAAAGTGCACTTTTTACAATTGTTAGTACATTTCTGCACATAAAAAGTATCAAAATGACGACATATTCTTGTAATTGCTTTGAAGTATTATTGGAAATACATTTATTGTTAATTGTGTGAGTTATAATACTTTAAAAAATATGGGTCTCATTTCGCTATCCTTTTTTTACAATAGGAACGCTCATCTACTGTCACATTTATTCATCACACACACACACATACACACACACACACACACACACACTCACACACACACACTTACTCACACACTTACACACACACTCTCTCCTGCACACAATTAAATATATTTCAAAATACTTAAACAAAGCAGTGCTCTAAAGTATCATAAAAAGCATGGGCCTCAGCCAGAATTACTCACTGATTTCAGCCCATGTAAATGTTGGTATTTTGTACTTATGATACGTTTTCTTTGTAAGTGGAGTGCAGGGGCAGTGGTGCTTGATGGCATGTAGTTGCCTGGTTTGGGCATGTCTTGCCAGTCGTCACAGAAAGAGAGCTTGTACTGAATGTCCCCTTGTGGGGAATAGCGGAGCCCTCGTATGTCAACCACTTTTGTGTCCCCGGCTTTTCTTCCTGGTCGAATGGTTGAGTATTCTTGTACTGATGAATGTTTTCTGAAGAAAGTATAGTTTAGGTATTTGACTTACTATGGCATAGGGCTTTGGAGCACCAGTCTGAAGAATTTAACATAGTCAGAAGGTATAAGACTAATAAGAGCGTTTTTGAGGGATCGTTCAGTGACGCTATGAACACTATCGAACTCCATTTGAGTGTGCCTCTTTTTGAGATATTTCTGTTCAGTTGTGATGTTGAACTCACAAACTAAAGCTGAGATGACCCTGGCGATTGAGGCATTTTTATTTTGGTAAAGGCATCCATCACTGTACAGTATTATTCTGTCATATGATTTGGCAAGGGATTGTATATAGTCTACGAATACTACGATACAAGATTAAATTTCGTCACAAGTTAGTCCATCTTCAACCTCATGCCAAACATAACATTTCACATCCTGGGTTGCCATATTGTAGACAGTTAAGTTATGCAAAGCAAGCTCTGTTCTATAGTACAGACCGGAGGACTGGAGCATGGGACATAAGACACATTGAAGACCCATGCTCACATGCCCACTCTGTCTGACGTTTCCTTTGTTTAGGTCTTCACTGACTCCACTGCTATCTTTTAATTAATTTCTTTCTCTAGCCACGCTGCCTCTTTGCTTTCTTTGTGAACTACCCACGCCCCTTTTGTTACGTTGCCTGTTTGTCCTAATGCAGTAGGTGGCTATATTTCTCTATAATTACAGACGATATTACCCTGGGACTGGGATAGTCCTGTCCCACCGATTTTGTAGGAATTCACTACTGCTCGGGACTCAAATCGACCAGAATGTCTCGTCCCAGTAGATGTGGTACATTACACTCTTATTCAAAGGTTTCAAACTCCAGACGGGTCTGTCTCAGAACAAATTGTCGTAGTGCGGTAGAAGCCTTACTCTCTATATGTTCTCATCAGTTGACTGGCTACTTTACCACTTTGTACTACTATGACCTACTCTGAATTTTGAATTGGAAGTTCTTTCTCTTTAACTCACAAATTTCAATTGAACAATAAATTGTAGTGAGAGAGAAGGCTCACTCCAGCCTCGACATGATGCGCTCGTTGAAAAGCAGCCTGGAAGGTTCTGACCTTGACATTATCACACCACGTGTGGTGGCGGAGGAGGCGGAGCTTGTGGAACTGAGGCGGCTGACATTGATGCACACACCCAGCTCACTCACTGATGCTGCCAGGGACTCGCTCACCTCCCAGGTTAACGATGCCTTGAAAGGTGAGTCGCTTCATGCAAAGGTGTTTTTGTAATTTGTGTAACGAAGTGGTGGAATCGGGCGCTCGTCAATTTTTGGGCATATATATTGGAATCGTCTTAAAGCTTGTTCATTTGTCTTGTGTTTCGTGAAAAAAATGTCCATTTTGAATAGAAGTTGAGAAATTTGAGATTGAAGGAAGTGGGGATGGCCTAGTGTCAGAGGGAAAATTGTTGAGAAAATGGCCATTAAGGTTTGGTGGCTTCCAATGATTGAGTGTCCTTGGAAATGGCAAATTTACTCTTTTTTTTTGTGGCTTTGATCAATGTTTTTCAGTAAAATCTGCTTAGTAATGTGTTTTTAAAACGACATATAAGGTGTTGAGCTAGAAAAAGAAAATTGGGAAAAAATTGTCCAACTGCGAGGAAAATGTGTTTTTAAAAATAATTTCATCATTTTAACAAGCGCACAATTTTACCATGATGTCTCACATTTTATGAATTTCCGACAAAGATTACTTATTTTTAAAATATAAGGAATAATCAGCATCTGCCTTTTTTAAAACTTATAAACAAAAAGAGCACAAAGCTGACAATCATCTTTCTTCGTCATCCGGTGCTTTGCCAACTGGCGTAGGCGATCATGGACCTCCACTTCACTCTGTCTTGCGTTGCAGCAATGGTGTCTGTTGTTCTTGCTGCTCCTAGCCTTGTTGTCATCTTGTCCAGTTTCTTTTCCCTCTGTCTGCCTCTGCCTCTCTTTCCATCAAACTTGCCTGTTGTTACAATATTCTCCAGTGCTTCTTTCCGCATTGTGTGTCCGAAGAAATTTGCCTGACAATCATCTTTAAGAGTTGTAAATCTGTATTTTTATTCTCAAGACATTTGGTAATAAAGAACTTAGTGAAAATAAGTATTTATCATCTTCACTTTACTGTGCTTATTCAGTCTTGCCCTCTAGCAATGTAACTGGTGAATTTCGAGGTCTTTGCTTCTCATGTGTTAAAGTGAGAAAGTAATATATTTTAGCTTAATGATTCCTTTTTTCTATGAAACCGAAAACATTTTTTCCTGTCTAGTAAAGTGATTAATGATTGCTGCCGGTGATGGTGAATCATCTTGTAGATTCATGGCTACATTTACGTAAGAAGACCAAGATCTTGTCATAAAAATTGTTTTCTGCGATTAGAGTGGTTTCAGAGTCTGAACATCTTGTCAATTATCAAAGTTTTTTAGATTAAAAAAATATCCTTTTTTTGGTTGGTTTTTTTTTTGTTTTTTGGTTGTTGTTGTTTTTTACGGGGTGAGATAAGATGATAGACAATGGGTTACTTTGGGAACTCATGTTTTACCTGTTAACAGAAATTCATTTGTTTGCCTGTTACCGTAACTTTACTTTTATGATTACCTACCTTTGGTATTCCCAGGTTGCCTTTCAGTTGCTATGATTCAGCAAGTAAAATCATGATGAATCTTACTGTGTACGAAAATGTTAAACCAAAAACCAGAAGTTGTAAATCTCGTTCTAAAATGTCCCAGGTCAAGTGAAAAGTGTTGTGTCGGTGACCTTGTTGACCTGCCCATGGTGGGAAGTGTCTCAACGTGAGCGAGGGGAGCAGGCCAAGCACAACATCCTCCTCGTGATCTTCACCTCCCACGACCAACAGTTCTTCTCTCCCGCCAACCCGCAGACCAAGGAAAAAGCCTGTGTTATTGACCTGGTGAATATTGATAAGCATGATCTTGTTGAAACAAATAGGCTTGCATGAACATAGCAAAATTGGCAGAACACGGAAATCTTTTCCTTATGTTCGAATTTCGCTATGTTCGTGTTTATAAATACAAAGATTATTTTGTTATATAAGGACAAATTTGGGACCTGAAAAATTTGTTTGCTATATGTGTGTTTGACATTAGCTACTAACAGCTCTTGTAATAACTGCTATAATTGAAATAAGTCAGTAATGGACAATCATCAGTCTTTGAGATTAGGCTTGGTCCATCTCTCCTGCATGCTGAATATGTAACAGTTCGACTATTTTTTCTTCACATAGTCTTGCTGCTGGTGAATATTTTCCCCTCTTGCTAGCAGAACTAATAATAATACTAGCATTTGTATAGCGCATATCCCCGCTCTACAGCAATCTCTTTGCGCTTTACTCTATATTATTACCCCAGCAGATCATAGAACACTCAGAAATATTTTCAGCTTCTAGGATGCAAACACTGCAAACAGTTGATAAAGTGCTCAAACGTTAACAAACTGCCAAGATCATTCACTGTCTATAGTTGGGTACCCATTTCCACCATGTGAAGTGAGGAAAATTGGTGTAAAATGCCTTCCTCAAGGACACAACATCGGGCCCCTGATGAGATTCGAACCCATGACCTCACGGTTGTGAGTCTGAGAGCCTAGCCACTAGGCCATTGATGCTACTGTGACCAGCCTTGCTTTTGCTGTCACAGAGTATAGTTAAAATTGTCTAAGACAGCCACCCTAGGTCATGTGGACATCTTAGATAATAATATGAAAGAAAAGCAAGGGGGGAGGGGGGGGGGGGTGTTGTCATTTGCGCTGGTTACATGTCTTGGACAAGTAGCCCTTACAGCAGGTTAATTATACTGTGATTAGACAGGTGACCCAACAATGATGTGTTATGAATCAAATTTGTCTTTGTCATTTATCATGTGAATGAAGCCATATATGCAGTGCATAAAACGCTTGGTTCTGGATCGCTAACAACAACAACAACAACAACAAAACACTTGGTGATGATCTCATTTATAAGCAGTCAATATTGTGCTACTTTACGAGTTTTAGAGAAATTATTCGGGGTGTTTTTTTCTCCACAGGGCTGGTTTTTGGCCATAGAGTTATCTCACTTTGGCCAGGCTTTGGGCCGCGGCCGTTCTCGTTACCTGGAGACTGTCTTCTGCCGTACAGGGGCCGAGGTGTTCTCTACGGCCGAGTGGCGGGAGCTGAGGAACTCCCTGGACTTCAAACTTGTGGCTGGTGAGTTTGGATGTCCTTTTTCCTCTTGTTTTGGGTATTGCTTTGATTTAAGGTTTTATTAATGTTCTTTTTTTTGTTGATTGTAGGTATTGATTTTTTGTGATTTTACTTCCAGCCTTACGGTTTAAAGATCTGGAGCTCTGTCCCTAGCAGCTCTCTGTTTGATGTTGTGGTTTTCTGAAAAAAAATTTTCCTGACTTTTCTTTGTATGCTCACTCAGAGTTGAATCAATAAATATCAGCACTAGGGCAGCTCATGTGACCACCTAGTTTCTTGTTTTTATTTGCTGTGTTTTCTTTAATGAATAGACTCTGTATATGTATCTGTTGTATAAGCCACTTATCCAACACAATCACTTGTACAAACTACCACTTCCTTGTGGGTTTTTTCTATAAAGTATTAATTCCGTCTGTCCCTGTGGTTTTATGAACCCCGCATAGTTAAGCATTATTTGATCATTTTTTGCATAATTTCTGATTATTTTCCTTTATTATTCCTTGTTAAAATTAACAGAATCGCATAATTTCTCCTTTTTGGGCTCAGTTAGCATAATTTCAGGATTTTTCTTGCATAAACTGACAGGGACAGGATACTGTCCAAGACATCCACCTGTCTAAGGCAACCATTTTTTCTCCTCAACAATGGGTGGTCGTCTGGGTCATTTTCAACTGTTTTATCATTATCGATGTGCTTTTCTTTTATCATAAACTGACAAACAGTATTTTGTCTCATGTCGATTATCTCTCTGTACATAATCCTGCTCTGTTTTAGGCACTAAACCCTTCCTGGAGGCTTGCTTGGGCCAGGCAGTGGGAGGTGTGAGCAAAAAGAAGAAGAATGGAGGAATGAAGCTGAGGGAAGCCTCCACTCTGTTTGAGATCTGCGAGTCTCTAAGGTATGGTGAATATTTAAGATTCTATTCTGAGCATAATGTGTAACGTTTTGTTTCTAGGTGTTAATATCATGTGTGGTGCAATGAGAAGACCACTCAGAAATATCTTTCGGTTATTTTGAGATGCAAAACAAATCTGTCTCAGTTTTTGTAGTATTGGTTTGCTTTGAAAAAGTGTTGGCTTACCAGTAAACCCCCATAATTTAATCTTTTTATTAAATTGTAGATAAATTTTATATATTTTTCTTTTAATTAAACATTTTTATTTTTTATTTTTAGGGGGAAGGGTTGTGATATAAGCATGTTTTGGGGCTTTTCTATCTTTTCATTTGGACTTTTTTTTTGTAACGGCAATGTCATTTTCATTGCGTGTACATAACATTGTTGTCATGTAAAATTTCAGATTCTGTTTCTAAAAGATATACCATTATTTTGTCTAAGCCTTCTGATGTTAGATGTATTATAAGACTCTGAAATAGTATCATGTCTGAAACTTTAAATTTTTACTTCAGGAAAAAAAATATGTTGTGTTTTAGACTTCTTCAGCTTGCCGACAATGGCTTAAGAGGTCGAGGAAATCAGCCGGAGGTCATAGAGGACAGTTTGCCAGAGGTCGGAAAAGCGGCACTGGAGAAAATTAAAAGCTTTTACACCCACGAACAGCCCCACAACTGCAAGCACGAGCTGTTTGATCTCATCATGGCTTGGACGGCAGAGTTGAGGGTAAGGTTAAAGTTCAACTGTTTCTAAAAAAAACCCCCACTTATTTCTTAAATTCGGATGGATAATAATAAACATCATTTGAATAGCACAGATTCCCGCTAAACAGCAAGCTCTATGTGCTTTTGATCTATATTATTACCCAAGCAGACCCGATAGCATTCTAAAACACCCTCAAGTTTCTGGAAAGCATACAATGCATGACATAACAGCTAACCAATACATAAAAAACATGTTTGACTTGGGTCAGTGGCAAGTGTTCTGGTGTGGTTTGCTCCTTTTTTCCTATCAAATATCTATCTTCCTTTGTTACGGAACACAGCACTACCACATTTTTAAACCGACACTTCGAAGTAACAAATACGAAACTCTTACCGTAGGTGCTGGATACCTTTATTTGAACTAAAGTAGTGCATAGTAGATTTCCCGCAAAGTGGGTTGACCTTGGCTCTGTCCCTTCCTCTTCTCTCTCTCTTGTCCGACTGCCCCCTCACAGACCATGAGTCACCGATTATATATATGAGCCATTGCCAAAACGTGGGGAAAAACACACACATCTCACATTAGTGTGCATAAAATGTGATGCATTAGTATTTATTCCTCCAAAACGTAAACACACGTCAAATATAGGATGTAGAACCTGCATTAGCAGTTTCAGACCCCATGTCAGCTTTTTAATCTTGAGTTTGTAAATTTTGTGCCAAAAATGTTCGTTTTTTAGAGATTCCTGGAGTGTCATTTTGAGCACACCAATGCAAACTTCCAAAAATGTCCAAAATTTAGTATTTTTGGGTGGGTTTTTTTTTACGTGTGCTTTGATCCTATGCTATTTGTCATTGAGAAAGGAACTTGCTCAAGAAATCGGTTTATTTGTTTGCAAATAGACGAACAATTCCGATTACTTGTGCGTCTGTCGTGTCGTCACGGACTAGGTGTTTCAGAAAACACCATTATTTTTCAGTAGAATCACCGTAGCTGGTTAAATCTTTTTGCCTATCGTCGTTTATTCAATACTTCAAAAGCCGCAATGTGCGAAAGGAACATCGGGTTCCTAGATCTACGATTCCGGTCGGCTGTTTAACATTGGCCGTTATTGTCGTCAATTTGCGACGTGCCGGAAGTCCGAATTTCGCCCACTTTTGTTTTGAACGGGTCATCAACAGTGCCCGGATATAATTGTTTTCTTGAGTGACTTCCCCTTACCCGCTTCCCCAGAACAACGGAAGCAACGGGGGGAACAGAAAAACGAAAGTAGTCATTGCCTTCAGCATCCGGTGAATTTTGCGTTGAATGTGATGTACTGGGCTGTTTTGCGTGTTTTTAGGCTACTCTGTTGAATATTTTAGTGAAATTGCGGTGTTTACACTGGATTCCTGGAACAAGAGTGTGATGTGTGAACAAACTTCGAGAGATGGATCATTTCTGTGGTTATAGATTTAGCTTTTGTGCTCAGTGATGACGTTTGGGGTGTCGTCATGCAGCCGTACAAGACTGACTGACGTACTAGAAATTACATTGTCCTAAGAGCAAACATTTTTAAAGTAATGTGTGCTCTCTTTACTCAAACAAATAAACAAACATGTCCTTGTTTATCTGTCTAACTCAAAAATACACATTTGTTCTTTGTTGGTATGATATACCTTTTTCCAATATGTTGTGTCATTGTGTCATCATTGTTATGTACAAGTAATATTTGTCATCATTGCTAATATCAATAAGTTTTCAACATATATTTCATACATGCAAGATTCATTTAGAAGCAACATACGCCTTTATTGATCTGTGTATCTCTTGGTGCAAATTTGTTCTTTGTAGGCATGATTTTACCTTTTCCCAGTATGTTTTGTCATCACTGTTATGTAGGAGTACTGTTTGTCATAATTAGCAACATAATTGTGATCGTCCACTGTCTTTGATATGACCTGATATCTGTTTCAAAGCAAAAGAAACCTCTCCTGGGTTTTTTTTTATTCTTAAAGTGCGCTTTTCTCTCTGGAGGCAAGACTTTTGTCTTTTCCTGTACATTGTGTCATCATTGTTATGTACAAGTCATGTTAATCATCACTGTTATGTACAGGTCAGCTCAATTGATTTTGTGCTTTTGCCTCATATTAGTTTAAAAATTGTTTTACACATGTGTTTTTCTGGTACTGAGGCTTTGATAACTGTATTTGTACAGCCTTTCACTATTGTGATGTGTTGTCAATGATAATGTCCAATGTGTATCCTTTCTTGTACATAACAATGATGACATGTTCTGTGCACTACGTCATTGTTACAAAGCTTGTCATTCATATTACCATTATGAATGGAGTTCAGAGTGTACAAAGTCTTTGTTTACTAAACAAATGGAATTTAAAGTCCATAATTTGCCTTGCTGCTTATCTGTTTTTGTCATCACTGTTACATACAAGAAATACAGTGGTTGCCAAGCCAATAGACCCATATCTCCAAAACCGTACATCTCCTTGCTCTGATACTCTAGGAATATGAGCACTAAATGTCAATCTGTGACTGACAGAAAAGAGGGTCAAATTAGTAAGAAAAATTTTTTTGCACCACTGAGTCTCAAGAGAGTCTCACGTTTTGGCAATTGCTCATATATATATAAGCCCACGTGAGCTTCCCCAGCACTAGATCCCCGCGCCCCGAGTAAATCTCGATAATTGTGGTGAAAAGTGGCCAAGTATCCACAACATCCTTATCTCTTTTCCTTCTTTTTTTCTTTTGTTATTCTCTTGTAACACCTCTAATTTTTGGCCTTTATATGACCGTATTGCGTTGCCAGTGCTGTAAAACTCACAAATACCCCCCGGGGCGGTGCCACTGACTGAAGTGTCTTTTGGCCATTCCCAAAGGGGGGACATTTCTCGTTCTAGTGCACAGTAGAACTGTAAATGGGCTGATCTAACAATGTCATGCTCATAACAGTGCCTGAACTACAACAGGGAACTGCTGCTTTTTCGGTCCTAATCCTTACTATAGTCATTATCCTCTACTTATTTTGTATGTTTGTCACACTCTTGTGACCAGCTATTTCCAGGGTGCCTTGATAGTCGAAGCAGACTTTGTGCTGCTGAAGCTAGAGAGGTGAGCAGAGTAAGTCTGATTCCCTATAAGGACTTCTCTGTTGACATCCACCACTTGGCTCTCATATGACCTCATGCAGTTGCGAGCACCGTAAAACCTCTACTAAAACAAACAAAACAAACTCACAAAAAAAATGTCATAACTTTTATACAGAATCAGCAATACTACAGATCAAAGAGCAAATGTTTTTCAACATGAACATGGGTTTCCGTTCTCAGACTCAAACCCTCAAGAACATATCAAATACATTTGTTCTCAAAGTGAAGTATTAATGATAATGTCGAATTGTTCTGTGATTGCACTCTACTCTTATAGAGCTGTAAACTTATTAACATTTTTTTCACGGTATGATCTAAACTTACAAATACAGTAGAGAGCAAAGGTTGTAGACTGTAATGCTGCATGGACCATGAGTTTTAAGTCATTTTTGTGTTCTTCTGAAAAATATAGGGACTGATGTTTAGTTCTGCCATCACTAGATCATTACCAGTGTGGAATCCCCTCCCCCCCACATCCATCTTCCTCTCGCCCCCTCCCCCCCTCTCACACACAAACACCCTTCCTTTTCCACCTTCTGTTTCCTGGTCACCTAGATATATTATATTCCCACATATACGCGTCTCAAAAGGGGGATATTAACATGTTCTTATACACAGTAGAATTGTAAATAGACTGATTTATCAATGGCATGCTCATACTGTGCCAGAACAACATAGGAGGAACTTTTTCTTTCCTCATCCTATCGTCAATTTTCCTCTACTTTTTTTTAAATGTTTGTCACTCTCTGATGAACTGCTATTTCTGGGGTGCCTTGATTGTCAAAGCAGACTTTGTGCTGTTGAGGCTAGAGAGGTGAGCAGAGTAAGCCTGATTCCCCGTTTGGACTTCTCTGTTGACATCCACCCACTGGCAGTCATATGACCTTATTCAGTTGCAAGCGCCGTAAAACCTTACTAAAACTTAAAACACACACACACACTCCTACTCTTTCTTTTGTGTATATCCCCAGCCCTTGTCAAATGCCTTGAAGCCTCAAGCAGCCAAATCAAACCAGAACCAGGTGTCGCTTGCCATTGGTAAATGGATGATGCAAACTCGACTACAGGGAAGGGAGGTCGCTCCTTCTTCAGGTATTGCTCTTGTAAAGATTTAAACCGTGGCATGAAGGAAAGTGAAAGGGCTTTCAAATGACAGCATCAGTTGGAAATGTTCTAAGAAATGACAATGTGTCCAATTTTCCCAGGACACCACATATATTGTTTTATGTCTCTCTCGTGTATATTATTGCCAAAGAAGAGCTAGTTAATAGTAAATTTGTGCTCACATTTACCTGCAAAGCCATGATCTTTGAGTACATTTATAACCACTTAGAATACATGATTTTCTATGTCCATCCAATGACTATTCCTGTGCAAGCTTGTGTAGGTAAGTGTGTGTGCATGTGTCGGTGTGTGTGTGGGAGTGTGTATCCGTGTGTTGACATATGCATGTATATATCTACCATGTCACTGTAAATTTTCTTTGTGGATATCAGTAATATGTTATTCTATCATGTCTTATCATATCTTATCGAATCTTATCTTATCTTGTCTTGCCTTGTCTTGTCTTGCCTTGTCTTGTCTCGTCTCGTCTCGTCTTGTCTTAACCTATCTCACTCCTCCCCAGTCATCGAGGATGAGGTGAGCCACCTGGCTAGTCTGCTGACCAAGGTTGGAGGTCCTGTGGCGGCCATGTCACCAGCAGATGTCCTGATGGTCGCAGTGGCAGGCAGTGCTATGTACAACCTCAACACTCCCTCCTCGGACATTGATTACCTGGTTGTGTACAGGGTTCCCACACAGGTAAGCCCAAGTTTCCATTGTTGTGTCAGTGGTCTTGTGGTTATTGCACTTTTTGTCTCGTAGTTAGAAAAATCGTGGGTTTGAAACCTGTTAGGAGCCCAAAATTGGGTCTTTAGGAATGATGCTTTACGTGAATTTTCCTCTTTTGACTCAGGTGGGAATGGATACCCGGCTATAGACAGCTTAAGATCTTGTCTGTCTGTCAGTGTTTGAGTGTTTAATCCGCCGCAAGCTGAGACTGTTTCTGAATTACTGGGATCTGCTGGGGTAACGATATAGATTTTAAAGTGCATAGAGCATGCTGCTGAGCAGGTATTTGCACTATTCTAATGCTATTTGCTATTATTAATGCGATTCCTAACTCAGAGTGGACAATTGGAGCGAGGCTCACCCAGTCTTTGAGCATCCCATCAGATCGCAGAGTGCATGAAGCATCATTGTGAATGTGGTCTTGTATTTTGACATGGAAGTGTTAGATATAAATATATAAACTACTTTCTTTTTTACTTTGACACAGTTTTAGCAATTTTATGAACATCTGTTTACGGGGTTCCCAGTCTATTTATTGTGAGAAGCATTCCACAAGTGGCTTAGTCATTTCTTGGAAGTTTTGAGAAAATCAAAGAAACCATGGCTTTGTTACTCATCATTTTTTCTATTAAAAACTATAAAGGAAATAAGGAAACAGAACGAAACTATATTGTATGATGCCTCTTGATGTCTTTATTCGAATAGCAGCTTTATCTGGGACCCCCCAAAATTGATATTTATGATTGAGGACAGTGGCGGTGGGTGGACCAAAATTTGGGTGGGGCTTAGTTACTTCTACTTCTTTACCACCAAATAGCAAGCATTAAGCACAAAACAGTGATGATTTTTCTATTCTCACGGCGAGCCACGGCACTTTGAGAACTTTTGAAACGAGAAGAGTCACCTTTTTCTTCCATCTCTTTGTTCTAAGTTTAATTCTTCTGGATAATGGGGACGAAGCCGTTTCACCTCCAAATTTCTCTAATTAATTTTCATCTGATGAAAAAGTTACCTCAAAAGTGGTTTGATGTAAATAACTGTTAAGTCTCAGTGGTTCATTCACAAACATGCACACACCACACTCCAAACATTTACCGTCTATTAGCTGGATTAGGTCGTGTAATCGCAGAAAGGAGAACGCACCTAAAAAAGATCCAATGAGCACATAGGTATCTGTGTCACTGGGGGAAAGTGTGTCGTAAACTTTCACCCCGTTGTCAGGGCTGGGAGAGTGTGAACCCTCCGTGCCGTGTTATTTTTTAAAAGTCTTCTAGCTTTTTACAAGAGGGGTTTCATTAAGGAAGGGTTCTTGGAACGGGCTCGTCCTTTGCAGAGCCCTAAAGACATTTGATTGGCTGTTAGGTTACTAAAGTTGTAAGCGGTGACAACAGTGATTGGGTAAATGAGCAAGCTGCCAAGTTGATCTCTCTATGTTCATTGCGTGCGGTCATAATGGTTTCAACTGCTTATTTCATTATTTTCATCTGCTTTTGGATAGAGTTGGGGGGGTGGGGAGGGGGACTCAAGCCCATGAGCCCTTCACTACCCACCGCCACTGACTGAGGAATGACTGTTACAATTATTATTAGGATTATGATTTGCATCTGAGAAATCTGAACTTTGTGAATATAAAGACAGGTGTTTTCTTTCAGCAGAGTTTTGGTCAGGTTGAAGAAATTGAGAGCAGTCAATATGTCGAACTCAGGTTGAACATGTTGAACTCATATTATGTTGTTCTCATGGGTTGAACTCGTTGTTGTGTGGTATTTTCTGAGTTTAAAACCTCAGTACAGAATGATTATCTTTTGTTCCAGACGTTGCTGTCTAGTACTAGCAAAGTGACAGAGATAGTTGAGAGCAGGGGTTTGAACCAGACAGTGGAGTATGGAGCCTATGAAGCCCGTACCTTTTGCGAGATGCTGCTCAAATGTAGTGTTGTCATTTTGGAGGTAAACTCTACTTTATGTTATATCAACCTTATTTGATTTGCTGAGCTAGAAAAATTGAAGAGGCTTAGTGGGAATCGCAATGTTGTTTGAATTTAACATAATTTGTTTGGTTATTGAAAAAACTCTCTGTGTCTTTTAAAGAAGCTGAATTGCCCCCTTGTGTTTAAAAGCGACCATATACAATATTATGCAATTATAATTATTTTCAAAATAAAATAAAAAAAATATTAGAAAGCATTGTACATGTAGAACTTAAAAAGTAGTTATACTTCTCTTAAGAATGTCTATATTCAGACTTCAGTATGTGAAAAGAGGAAGTGACCCTTCAGAACTTACTAGTAGTGAATATGCTGTGAAACCCAAACTCAGACAAACACATTGATCATCAAGTTTATCTTTACTCCTCTTACCTTTTTGCCATTGCAGAAGCCACAAATCATCTTTATAAAATATTTTCCTTTTCAAAAGCATTGGTCATTGTCCGACATTGATGGACAAACTTTTATTTGTATGTGTGATCAGTATATAGTGCAGTAATTATCTTTATGTGTATGTGTTTTTTGTCAGATTATGGGTGTCTATAATATTAATAATATTTGACAGCATTGTTGTATGTTGAATGGACTAGTATGCATAATATTTTATTTCTTTGTGAAGCACCTTAAGCGACCAGGGAGTGGGCACAAGAAGTGATCTTTCTTATTTATTATTATTTTCATTATTTATTTTATAATATTACTGTTATTATTATATTAATATTTCTAATACTACTATTATGATTATACCTTTACTCTCCACAGCTGCTCTTTGCTGACAATCATGAGTACATGAGTCCTCAGTGGAAGGTATGTAAATGTTTAAAGCAAGTCGAACACCAGGGATAGACAATGGATACTCTCTGGATTTTTGTGAAATTTTGGAATTTGTTTATCTGGCACTGAAATTCAAATGTGTATCCAGTGATTTTTATGCAAAAGTGTTTTAATGTACAGGATCATGAGTTAGGACTTTGTATTTTTACATGAAATCAGTGACACTTAATTGTAGTCTTTGAATTTTAAAGTAACAGTAGAGTGCCTTACTTTGTTCTTAAGTCAGTAATGGTTTCAAAGCCTTGTCAATTTGCCCTGCAGTCTAACCGATCTTAGCGGTTTTTGTAGTAGATTTCAAATTTGTTTAAATACATACAATTTGTTGACTTTATCTTTGTTTTACATACAGGATCTTGTTTATTTATAAAGCAGAAAAGAAGTTACATAAAATTTGCTGACTTTCTAAAGCAAAAAAAAATGTTTGACATGGATAAAATTTGCTGACTTTGTCTTTTGTTGTCTCCAATTTTCAAGGAACTTGCCAAACACAGAAAGTCATTTGTGACAGAGAAAGCCATTCAGCAATATCTGGGACTTGTGAAGAACAACTTCAAGTTTATTCGCCAGGGTCGACACCTGTCGAGTCCAAAAAGAGATCGCAAGCTGTTTTATCAGGTAAATTTAAGTGGACATCTTGAACAGTGTCATTATAATGATATTAGAGTCTCACACTACTTTTTGGGATCACACAGTGGTTTGGGGATTCCAAGAAACTTCTCTTGAAAATTATGTGCTAAACTGAATAAAAGTACTCTTAACATCCTATTTCTACAAGAAAGCTCCATGAAATTTGTATCATTTGAAGCTAATACAATACTAAAAAGCAATTTCTTGGTGTTTTTGCTGAAGGGTCATTGCATTCACAAAAGTGACACATTTTTTAAAACTAATTAATCGTGACGCCGACCTCACCTAAGACTTGTGGTGAAACGAGAAATGTGAAATCTGAAACATGAAACACGAGTGACAAAGAATGATAACAACGATTTTAATGGCAGTCTGCGCATAGGACGTGGCTTGAAATTTGTAACGTGAAATGCGTTTCAACACACATTAAGATGAAATGGACGTGTTCATTTTGTGTGGCCACTGACGAGGACTCAAGCAAGCCACGCTGGTGGTGACAGCGGACTCCTGCCAGCTTCCTTTGACGTTTTCATTAGACGGGGAACAAAATTGGAGAAACAAAATTTCCTTCAACAAAACTAGAAATTGAGTTAGTACAAGCCAAGCCAATGACATGGGACCCTACACAGCGAGACTACAAAAAACAGAGATCAGAGGACCCAGTAGGTTGTGAAAATGGAAGCACCAGAGATTTGAGTCCGTCGTATGTCCAATATGACATTCTCAAATAATTGAAAGAGTCCACCATCTCTTTTTTTCTTTAAGGAACAAAAGGTTTTTGTGTATTTTCCTCTTGAATGTCTCAAAAGGAAATGATCTCGAGACCATAAGCTGCGCCTTCTTCTTTTTCTGTGCTTTCTCATTAGAATGAAGATCATCAGTGTGTCTTCATCTGACGAGTCCATATTGTCAACTGAATTATCATGTAGGCCTACTTCTGAATTATGTTGTTTCTTGTTTCGTATTTCACCACACGCTGGTTTTATGTGATTGCCTGATGTTTCTAGTTTCACGTGTCTTGTTTCATGTTTCACTTTATGCGTTTCACTACATGTCCTATTTGAGGCCGGCCTGAGACACCACAGAGGTGCTGAAATTGATAGTTGCCTATGAGACCTAAGAAGTTATACGCTCTTTAAATGTCATTCATGTAATTTGTTTTAGAAATTTATTTTGATCATGCTTTTTCAAAGCTTTTACCTGTTTTGATAGGGGCATAAAATCACTCTCATCCGCTCAAAAAGATTTAAAAATTTAAAATTTTTTAAAATTAAGCCCTCACAAAGAAGATCTCCATTTTTGTCTGAATTGTTCCTCCTCAGATCTTCCACAAACTCCACAGTGTGGAACACATGCTGAGAGAGGACATACCCCCAGTGAGGGTGGATGGAGCAGTGAGAGAGTTCATCATGAACGTCAGAACACAGGATGGTGGGGTGAGGAAGGCTGTTTTTGTTGTTGTTGTTGATATTGTTTCATCATGAACATCAAGACACAGGATGGTGGGGTGAGGAAGGAGGTTGTTGTTGTTGTTGTTGTTGTTGTTGTTGTTATGCATGTTGTTCTGTTTTTGTTGTTGTTGTTGATACTGTTTCATCATGAATGACTGGACATTGGATGGTGGGGTGAGGAAGGGTGTTGTTGCTGTTGTTGTTGTTGTTGTTGTTATGAATGTTATTGTTCAGTTTTTGTTGTTGTTGTTGATACTGTTTCATCATGAATGACTGGACATAGGATGGTGGGATGAGGAAGGGTGTTGTTGCTGTTGTTGTTGTTGTTATGAATGTTATTGTTCAGTTTTTGTTGTTGTTGATATTGTTTCATCATGAATGTCAAGACAGAGGATGGTGGGGTGAGGAAGGCTGTTGTTGCTGTTGTTGTTGTTGTCATTGTTGTTGTTCTGTTATTGTTATTGTTGTTTCGTCATGAACGATAGGACACAGGATGATGGGGTGAGGAAGGCTGTTGTTGCTGTTGTTGTTATTGTTGTAATGAATGTTGTTGTTCTGTTGTTGTTTTGTCATGAATGTCAGGACGCAGGATGGTGGGGTCAAGGAAGTGAATGCTATTGTTTTGTTGTTGCTATTGCAGTCAGTCCTGTAGGTAGTAGAGGTCTTTCTTGTTGGCAGTTTCCTGTTGCCCAATTTGGGTGGGGACGAGGTTAGGTTGAGGCTTGGGTTGAAAGGAGGAATTAATAATGATTGTGATTGTATATTGTTTCCACCTTTTTTTCCTACCTTCTTCTTTCTTCTTTACTCTCACCACTGGATGAAATGCTCAGTAAGTTAACACTTTTTCGTCACAAGGCTCATATAGTAAAAACCCTTGCCATCAAAGGCAAAGGCATTTACGGGAAAATCAAAAGAAACTGGGTGGCAAACATCGCTGATTGGCGAGATGTGACTGCAAAGTGTTAAAAAGTCTGAGTCTAATGCTTTTCTGAACACTGTCAAGTTGTTTAAGAGGCAAGACCTCCAAATTTAACATCCATCTCCAATAAGACCGAGCCAAATGGGTTGAGAGTCCTGAAAACTTCCCAAAACGATCAGGGTTCAAGAACGCCCAATTGGGGGTTCAAACCAGGGCCATCTGCTCCATAGTCAAACATGATACCTACTGAGCTAGCAGAGCACCCTCAGAGGCTTAGCATCAAAAACGACTTATATTTTTGTTTAAATAGGCTTTGGACTCATACGTAAATAGTGAATTAACTAACAACGAAACAACTTTTATTTCCCCCAGGAGTGGAGTCGGGAGCAGTTACTAGAAAAAGCAACATCACAGTATCAGGCTGTGAGGGAATCACTGTGTTCCCGGGAATCCAGACTACCAGAAAATGCTGACTACGAGCTTTGTACTCGCTGGCTTCTCAATGTCAGGGGACTGTCAGAAAAATTGTGAAGATAAATTTATATTGATACTACTACTACTACTACTACTACTACTACTACTACTACTACTACTACTACTACTGCTTACTACTACTGCTACTGCTACTGCTACGGCCACCGCCACCGCCACCGATAATATTAATGATTTTTAAAATTTGCATTTGCAATTGGCATTGGCTTGCATTGTTGATGAGAAAATGACTTGACTGGAAAGTACTTATAATACGAACTTGAAGGTTTATGTTCTTAATTTTTATATCAAAGTATGCCATTGATCTAACCGGTGATACTGTCAACATGAATTGGTCTTTTCTTGAGCTTTGTTCAGGTGAACCCCTTTGGTTTGGAAAAAAAAGTGAGTCCTCTAAAATGACATCAAGTGCTGATAAATATTTGTTTCTGGTCTATCGCGATTTTAGTTTTAAAAATAAATATATACAAAATTTGTAGATTGTGAATCTTACCCTGTTTTTGTGTACGTTTAGATCTGATATTGTCAACTATATTGAATGCACTGCTAGTAAGATGAATTAGGATCAATGCTATAGTTTAGCTTTGGAGATTTGTCTAAAAAGTTGTTAGAATTAACACCCTCTGTGCATGTTTGCTTATGCTTTTTCTTTTTATCTAAACTGAATAGTAGCAAAAACATTGGGAGTCATATTAACCCTTTCGTTGCCAGGGGATATGGGTTCCTACTGATTTCCAGCTGAGCTAGTTACCCAGGACAGCAGCCTAATGTCTCAGTGCTAATGGATGCACTGCCTAGATCTAGCATTCTCATGACATAGTTCGGATGCCGGGTCTTCAATTGTTTCATTTTTCTCACTTTTCTAATTCACTATTTCCTCCCATCTTATTCCTAATTTTGAATAACCTGCAAATCTAAGTCAAAAACTGAATTTATTTGCTTTTTAAAAGTCATTTTGATGTTTACGTTTTTTTGAGGGCACGCGCGGCTGCCCGCAAGCCTAGATCTATATTTATCGATCACTTGCAGCGTGGCGGGAAAGAAATACTAGCAGATTTTGTACCGATGTGCGCATCTTTTATTTCCGAATAGGAATGTATGCTACGTTTATGGCTAAAACTACGTACAAAAGAATTAGAGCCCGGTTATTAGCGTGCGTACATATGTATTGTCATAAATATAGACAACCAGGAGCGACAAATTTTGCCAACTTCCATAAATGTAAATGGTTCGGCACAGCGCTAAAAGGTGAGAGTCAGGGTTCATTTTTTATACAATGCATTGACTGCTTTCTAACATGGCAGGAATGCATTCTCTCTGTGCCATTTATTATTGTTTTTGTACAAGGATGTGTCTGTTGAGATGAGTCAAGGCAGCTGTGAATCTTGTTTTAATAAATGAAAAATGAGTATGTGTAGTGGATTTGTCTCATTTTAGGTATGTTTTATGTTTTTCAGATACAAAAGATTTTCTTTGTTGATGTAGAAAAATGTCAGATGCATTATTTTTAATTGAATGAATACATTACGGGTGACTTTTTCTGGAAAAAATCTGGAATAGTGAAAAACCTTAGATGTGCAAGACATTTTGTTTCTTGTGAAGTTGTTTATGTTAAGCATTATAATAGATGAATTTTAGTATTACCAAAATTTATACCGACATTCTGCAAGCACTTTGTTGGTTTGTTGGTCAGCAAGTTTGTGGAACCATTGTACTTAAAAGATGCTGAAGGTTTTAATTTTTAGAATCAAAATGTAAAAATGGGCAGATCTGTAGCCTACTTGCTTTTGTATTAAAAGTGGGCATTTGTTTATTATAATATTGTTTCCCATACAAGATTGCCTTTTGTTATGATGATTCAAGTTTATGTGATTAGCTAAATTTGTTTGAAGGTATTTGTTTTGGCCCCTAATTTGATGCTGTTGAGTGTGTATGGATGTCTTATTACTGTAAAGTTTTCTTTGTTTTTACTTACCTTTACTTTCTTATTTTATCATTATAAACATCAATGTTTTCTGTACAGTTGTGTCTTTGGATTAGGGTTCATTGATTTGTCTATTGTCAATCATATTCAGGCTTTATGCAGTGTGGCATTTTGGTAAAGAATGTCAAGTGATACAGTTTATTCCATCACCCTCTTACACGACTTGTGCAGAAAAACTACTGTTTAATTGTCTGATTAAATTAAATCAACCTAGCCCATTTTCTACAAAACTGGGCATTGTAATTATGTATTCTTATTCATTTATTTTTGTAAATACTGTGGTGTCAGAGTCTGTTTATCCGTACGTCCAACATTGTCTGCCAAGATGCCGTGCTCCCTTGCAATGTATGTCCTAAAATCAGCAGATTATGGTAATCGCGTTTACTTTACTACATACATCGTACAGGATTTTGTAGTTGCACTACAATAGCTTTGAACGTCCTGGCTAGCAAAAATTGGGTGTAGTAAAAGTTGGAAAAACCATGGGTCGCGAAGGGGTTAAACCAAACACGATTTATCCGACAACAGTGGTAAAACAAAAGAAAATGTAATCCCCCCAAAACCAGAAACTGAACAGTGGGTGATTGATGGGTGCTTTGGTGTGGTTTGCTCCTTCTTTCCTGTCGAACATCTATCGTCCTCATCTCGCTTCCTTCTTTTTTGTGTTCCCGGTATGTTACTCTCTTGTAACACACCTATTCTTCGGCACTTATATGACCTTATTGTGTTGCAAATGCCGTAAAACTCTTAGGAAAACTGGAGAAACTGAACTAAGCCAAAGAAAATCCATCACTCCCACAAATTTTGGTTTAAGCTGGCTCCACTGAATAGACATTTTTTCTTTATGTTCTGTCTAATTTTGGGGTTTTTATTTATTTTGAACAACCTTTCTTTTCTCCGTTCAGCTCTCTACGTTTTCTGTAGTCCTTTTCTGCCATCTGCTTTCATCTCCACTTTGTTTCCCCACCCTGACCTCCTCTGAGCTCCTCTCTTCCTTGCTTCTGACGTTCTGGAGCTACTCCTGTTCCTTTTTACTGCTGTCTTTCAGCCACACCCCTGATCTTATGGCAAGTTATGGTGGGCAATAGTGAACATCAAGCCTTCGCGGATAAATGTAGAAAATCTTCGAGATCCTGTGTGCAAGTTACGCGCAAGTTAAAAGTCCTTTGGTGGTCCTAAAATAAATAAGAGTACACTAAGGCCGCCACCTGAGAAAAATTCAACTTTAATTTGTACAAAAAACTGACAATACTCTTGTCAGTATAAAAACACTTTAAAAAATCGTGTTGCTGATTATTGTATGACGGTTTGAAGTGTGCCGCACCAACATTACCTTTTAACTTTTGGTCTGCTGTTGGTCGGACATGTGTTTGTGATCGACGTCCTTATACACGCAATAATAATAATAATAATAAATAATAATAATAATGAATTACACGTTTATTTGTCCAGAAGGGCACTTTGGTGTACAATGGCAAACATACATACATATAATTATAAATACGTAATAGATTTATACATGCATAAATACATACTTAAAAACAGAATATTATACAAATACAGAACAGTTTACAACCATGCCACTGTCGGTCGCTACTGTGCTGTGCCCTGTATTTTGAGCTATGGTTGGCCGTCTTGCTCATGGACACACCCCAGTGACCCCCCATCTGATCCTCGTGTCACCGACACTTGCTTGACATTACTTGAGTCTAAACTCACTATACATGTACTTGCTTAGCCACTGGAGCTTTAAAAAAAAAAAAGAAAGTGCTGAGGATATGAAGGGGAGGCATGAGCTATTGAGGAAGGAAAGGCATGCACTGACAGTTTCAGTTTCAAAATAAAAATTTTTTTTTAAAGCCATCAGCTGATTCTTATGAGCACGAATGCTTCTAGGAGGACGCCTTTCGAAAACAAAACAAAAAAAGGAGAGGGGGTTGAGTAGGTTATCTGAAGTGCATTGAGTCGACCAATAAGTTTACAAAATGTGATCAACGAATCTAGCCCTCCGAGGCTGCGCATCATTGAAGAAGACGAGGAAGAAAATTAAGGTACCAAATGCATTGATCATGGACATCATTCTTGACTGACGATAAGCCGTTTGTTATTTTTGTTATCTGAAATAGGCCCACGAAAACGTAAAGTCCAGTTCATTTTCACAATAACTCAACATATAATGTGTAGTAAAATAATATTCGGAGTAGCTAGCCGCCCGGTCTGGGGTGGCTAGCGTTTTGCTATAGGCTACGAACGAATTCGGTAGATTAGCCTGACGCTTCTGGCCCGAGGGGATTTCTGCGCGTCTCTCTCTCTCTCTCTCTCTCTCTCTCTCTCTCTCTCTCTCTCTCTCTCTCTCTCTCTCTCTTTCTCTCTCTCTCTCTTTCTCTCACCCTCCTCCCTCTTTCTCTCTGCCCGCAGACAAAACTGTTCGCTTTCAACTCAGCGCTGGAACGTTCGTTTACACTCCTATCACGGGCCGTCACGCGCTAAGACAAGGTCGCGCCCAAGTCTCGCTCCGACGCGAGATAGTATTTGAAACATCTTGGTCGTAGAGATCCTTAAAAACATCAAAACGCTGCATGTCTATTTTTAATAACTTTTTCACCGGCATTCCGATGAATAATAATTTAATAAAGGGTGATAGATCTAGTCAACTCGCGAGGTAAACCCCAGAGAAAGTATCAGATTATTTCTG